ACCGAATTTGATGATGAACTTCCTGAAAGAGTAAAACGATTCTTAGAAAGTTTTAACCGCAGTCGTACTGGGGAACAATTAAAAAAGGGTCAACCTGATCCTACCATCGTTACGACAGAAACAGCAAAACAATCTCCTATTTCTACAAGAACAAGTGTTGTTCGTTTCAGAGATGACCCTGAAATGTTTGAAAACTCCGAAAGGGATCAAATGTACTTGAAACAATCTCAACTATTCACCCCAGGACCGTTAAGGACCCCAAATGCACAATCCACCCCATTTTCCACATTCGGAGGCCAAAGGGAAATGAAAGGGAAAGAAGGTAAAAAGGAGAAAACACAGTTGGAACCTCGCCGACTACAACCAAGGAACGATGACAATCCAGTGAAGTGCGTACCCTCTGGGAGTTCGTTTATAAGTGTGAACGTTCCTTATTGTGATCCACCTTCCCTCCCTTCTACTACTGATCCCTCCAGTGACGAAGAGGGTGTGTTTGAAATACCAAACATCCCCAAAAGTGAAGTTTCTCCTATAGTTATAAACCAATGGACTCAACCCCTGACGTACGAACGAGACAATTATGCCCATTTTATCTCTGAAGACTGTGAACCTATAGATTCAATTTCCAAACTTTTGATTGCCACAGAAAAAATCGACCTCCAGGACATTCGCGATAGTAGGCCTGTCAAGGGACAAGTTTACGTTACTCCTTGCGGCAACTATATGGTCTATTCTATCGTTGTGAAAAAACGTCACTTTGATCAGATCAGATGGGAAGACGTAAATACAGGGTTAAAAAATTTAAAAATGGCCCTCGAGACTAATAAACAAAGATCCTGTCGAATGGCAAATAGCGGAGACCTTTTAGGCGCGTTACCCCAATACAAGATGTCGGAACTTGTCGCAGGAATTTTCCGCGGTGGTGACGTCACCATCATTTTATGCCACGGAAAAATCGAAGTTCCTCCTGTCGAATTGCGTCATAAGATTATTTCCGAATTTCATTCGAGCCTAGTTGGTGGGCATAAAGGAATAACAAAAACCTATAGAAGAATTCGTGAGCGATATTACTGGCCCGGAATGCGTAACGAAATTACGAATTATATTAGGGAATGTAAAAGCTGTTTTGAAAATAAATTGGTTAGAGCACGCACTAGGGAACCTATGTTGATTACCGACACCCCAGCAATGCTTTTTGACAAGGTATCATTAGACACAGTGGGAAAATTGAGAACAACCCCAAACGGAAATCGACATATTCTCACAATGCAGGATAATTTTTCCAAATACTGCATCGCGGTTCCTATCCCTAATATCGAAACTAAAACTATTGCCCACGCCGTGGCAACTAACCTCTTTTCCGTATTTGGAGCACCTCGATGTGTGCTTACAGATAGAGGTCCTAGTTTCATAAGCTCTTTAATGAGAAAACGAGAAAGGATTTTCGGTGTTAAACAACTTACTACCTCTGGCTATCGACCACAAACGAACGGAGCTCTCGAAAGAAGCCACATTGAGCTGACGGACTATATTAAACATTATGCAAGGGACTTTGACGATTGGGATCGTCTACTCCCATTTGCCATGTTTAATTATAACACGTCTGTCCACGAGGCTACAAATTTCACTCCGTATGAATTGGTGTTTGGCCATGTGGCACGAGCACCTAGTTCCTTACCAGAGGGTCCTGATATTGAAACCTATGGATCCTATCTGAAAGACTTGATTACTAGAATGAATGAACTGCAAAATATTGCAGCAAAATATCTTGTTAAAGCAAAGAAAAAATCCAAAGAAATATATTATGCAAAAGCCCGACCTTTAAATGCCAAAATAGGCGATCAAGTGTACACCTACAAGGAAGTGAGAACGAATAAATTCGATAAGAGAGCGAATGGTCCGTATACCATAGTAGGGTTCACGCAAAATAACAACGTAATTCTCGAAAATGAAAACGGCGAAAGATTTTCTAAACACCGGGACAAGGTCATGGTTGCCCATTTATAATCAATAACCTTTTTTTAACCTCTACTAATGTGGTATTCAATTTTAAGAGAGTAGACGAGCTGGGGTACAAAGACGACGACGACCATGATGAAAATTTTAATAGTGCTGTGTCTCTTCCGAATCCCAGTAGCACCAGCAACTCAGAGCAGCTCCAATAGATCTGATCGGACCAACTACGATGACCTTTTCCAAATCACTCCATTCAAGGCCAGCAGCGGGATGTATTTTGAATACATCGGTGAAATGAGGAGATCTGTCAGCAACTGGAGAATCGCAGTTTTTCTTGATATCGGTAAACAATGCCGATTCTTCGATGATTTGAAGTCCAGGCTGGAAAGACTAAGAAGGCAGTGCAGACCTGATGAAGAATGGTGTGAAGAATTAGTAGCGATTTATCAGTGGGAAGACAGGTGGGAAATGGCCTCGGAGCTACAAAAACAGTTCCGAGCCCAAATCGAAGAATTAGAAAATACTAAAGGAACCTTACCCAGGAGGATGACTTCTCAACTACGAAAACGACGAGCAGTCCCATTGCTGGGATTCCTTGGAAAGATCGCTGGACCCATAGCTGGCATGTTGACATATGATGATGGAGAAAAATTTAACGCAGCAATCCAAAATCTTAACAACGCTTTGGCCAACTTATCTCATCTAGTAGGCAAACAAACTCATGTAGTCAGGTCCCAACTCGATACACTGCACTCGCAGATTCAACAGCATGGCTCTTTGCTGAAGGAATTGCAAGAAAAGCTTCAAGACCTACTGGGTCACGTAGACCGTCCGAAGTCACCAGCTGAAATGGTACGGATGAATTTGACGTATGCTCTAGCTAGGGCATTACGGTTGGGACTTGATCATAGTATCCAGGCGACAACAACGATGCTGGAAGCGGTTCACGAAGCCAGAAAAGGAAATCTTCATCCGGGTCTCATCACATCGGAACAACTGGAGCCGATCCTGCGAGAAGTACAGGATAATCTGAAGGAGGTCAAGTTTCCTTTAGCCGGACCAAGGATAAGCATTGACGAACTAATGCGCATTTCCACAGTCACTATTCTCTGTGAAAATCATCAACTAAAGGTCCTGGTTGACATCCCACTCCTAGAAAAATACAACTATCAGACATACAAAATTCACCCACTTCCAACCATCCAGGATGTAATTGGAAATGGAACAGGCAGGGCTTATATAAAATCAAAGTACGATTACCTGATTGCAGATGAGGAACAGTATACTTATCTCCTATTAAAGGAGCAAGATTGGAATTCCTGTAAAACCGCTGCAGCATACCATGCATGTTTGAACGGCGCACCAATCTACGACCTTCGCAAGCGACCATCCTGTGAAGCTCTACTACTGATTGATCCAAAGCCGGAGGCTTTGAAATTCTGCGACGTGCGAGTGACGGTTAATCAAGATTCATATTGGGAGCCATTGACCACGATAGGCGGATGGATCTACTCCTTTGCAACACCTGAATCTGTGATAATTGCTTGTCACTCTACCAAACGTGTCAAAGTTTCCCTAAATGGCGTCGGAATTTTAAAATTGGCGCCAGGATGCTTTATAAAAGCCCAGGATGTAATTATACCAGCTACTACATCACAGGCCAGAGAATCCGAATTCATCTTTGAATCAGATCTGCACCTAAATCTAACGGACCTTTCGTCCCCATTATCGAAATACAACTACTTATTAACCGGATCAAGAATTTTAACGCCTTATGAGAAAGCAACAGAAGCAAAGTTTACTACCTTCGAGGCTAATCCTAAAACTCTCGAAGAATTGGAACAGCAACTGCAAGAATTTGCATTTCAACAACATTTAAAGGGTGAACAATCACTTCTTGTATACGGATCTTACATAGGAATCGTTCTGATATGCGTATTACTTGCCATTTATTCCTGCCGGTCGCCTTTAAAATCTGGAATCAGTCAATTGTTTCAACGACAAAATCACGGAAAGATTGAAATTAAAGTAATCGAGCAAGGCATACCACCAACCCAGAAAAGAAATGCAGTCCCGTTGGGTGGAGACTCCATTGTTTCAGAACAGCCAGTCCTACCGAATCCAGGTGTAGATGATATAATCCTATTAAATACAGAAGCAATAGCTGCTCCAAGAAAGGTGGCTTCAACTGTCAAAGGTAACCGATTAATTTCTGAAAGAGAATGGACATCCATCGAGCCAATTGCAATACCAATGCGTGAGAAAAAGTCTGCAACTTCCGAAGATGTGGCACCTCCGAAGATTAAATGACTAAAACCAACGTCTGGGTCTAGGTTTTCGGAAACAAACTTCGAAGGACATGCAATTATGAACTATGAGAACAACCCTGTAGTTAAAAATAAACTGAACATCGTGAATTACCTAGAAGGGGAACTGACGAAAACGCCTTCATCACCGTCAAGATCTTCCCCGGAGACCAACTCAAGGGTACCGAAACGACTACCCATCCAGCACCTTCAACCAGCATAGCCAACGTCACATCGTAAGTCATACGGTATAATTATTTAAGATTAAAATCATTGGTACACGGAAATGTCTAAATAGTGTTTGGTTAACACTAATTAACCAACCACATATGTATGGGAGTAAAGGTTGACCTAAAAAAAAAAAGAGCTAAAAAAAAAAAAAAAAAAAAAAAATATATAAAAAAAAAAATGTTTAACTCTATAAAAATTGATTAATTAAAGAAATATGAGAAATTAAAACTAGTACCGTAATTTTCTATTGCGGCGCTTTTGTATCAGTTTCGGTGTATCAATTTCGGTGACCAAAATTACGTGTATTTTGAAGATACTACGCCCGCCGAAATCGGAGCCAATGAAAATCTTAAAAATGTTTCAATTGCGGCGCGAAAAAAAAAAAAAAAAAAATTTGATCTTAAAATTAAATTAATAATTGTTTAAATGTAAATCTTTATAAGTAATTGATGCACTCGCCGTAATTGGTACACTTACCCTAGATGTAATTTTTTTGTTGTTGTAAGGACATATTTCTAAAATGCCGCAGTCATAAGTATAAATTGTGGGAGAAAAGAGATAGAGAATCGTCTTACCACTTTCCACCAGCCTCTTGTCCGTGGCTGCCCTGGCGCCAACCAGTCGTGGCACTGGAGAAAAGTCAGCTTGAATCCCTCTTTCAAGGGCTGAAACCCTACTTTCGGAGGGATCTCAGGCAGGTCCCTTAAAAGACTAAAAAAAAAATATATAAAAGTTAAAAAAAAAAAAAGAAAAAAAAAATTTGAATTGTTTTGTCTTACCAAACTAACGGAGGCAGACCCTCCGAAATTCCTCCCTCAACCAATTTCAGTGCCGGTAAATAATCCCCGACGTATACTGGGTTACGAAAGGATTGATAAAAAAAAAAATAAATAAATTTTCAGAATTTTATTTTTTTGTTTGTCATATTTAATTAGATACTTACTGGAGTCCAAAATCCACGAGCAAGGTAATTCCTCTCGCTCTCGTCCCAAAAATACTCCTGAAACCAGGAGGTCATGGAGCTAGCTCTTTCGACCCCGAAAGCCAAACTCCGGTCATAAGGCCATAATTCGCCAACTACGGTTCGGGGAGAAACAGGCCTCCATTCCCCAAAATTGATCATAAATCTAAAAAAAAAAAAAAAAACAGCATAATCATAAAATACAAAACAATTTATTTCCCTTTTCTATGCACATAATCTAATTGGAAGGAAATTTTCATAGGATTGGTTTAAAAAAAAAAAAAAAAAAAAAAATTATAAAAAAAATTTTGTTTTATATTAAGTATAGAAATAATTTTATTTATATTATGAACGAGTAAAAGAGGATATACATATATATATTTATTTAAAATACCTTTTTTTTTGTACAAAATGTAGATCTTTTTCAGGTCTTCTTCAATTCAATTATAAAAAAAAATAATTTTTTGAACTAAAATGATTCTTCACTAAATTAATTATTTTAATAATTTTCAAATACATCACAAATTCAATTATATCAAAATTACTTTTTCAATTAAAATTTTATGAATTGTCTATAATTAAATATATATATCAAAATAAAATTGAATTAAAAAAAAAATAAATAAATAATTTTTTTTTACCCGAAATTTCAATTTAAAATAAAATAAAACTCAATTATTTTCTAAAATTTCTATTCAAAATTAATTATCCAAATTTTCAATCAAAAATAAACTTAATTTAAATTATTATTCAAATCTGAATTATTTTAACTATTTTAATAATATTCCTTGAAAATTCAACCATCTGAAACCATTTTCATTTAAAATTCATTTTCAAAATATTGTATTTTGTCCGCATTTTCTAATAAATTTTAGTGAAATCTTCAAAAAAAAAAAAAAAAAAAAAAAAAAAAATTTTTAACTACAAAAACATTTCAAAATTCTCAATTTTAAATCCTCGAAAATTCTATTAAATTTAAAAAGTTTTTAAAAATTTTTTTTTGTTGACACAGAATCAGATCAGACGTGGTATGGGGGGGGGTTCGGCAGTGGGCTCTTCGGTTTCACGTGGGATGCTCATAAAATTACATAGTTAATACGAAATTTTAGATGGCTAAACACTACGGAAGAAATATGATTAATATCATCATTTTATTAAAAAGGGAAGATCGATCGTTGATTGATTGTAATACAATTAATCAATTTCCCGAGGCGAAACTTATAATTAGGATTTTATATTGTGCATGTGCTGAAATCAAATATTTAGTCTAATAATTAATAAATTACTTTAGTGAGGTTCACAGCGTTTCTGATCAGCGATTTGAGGGAACAAATATTTTCTATTTAAATATTTACATATTTTGCACAATAAAACTATTTTACTTAATTTTCGATCAATAATTTGTAAAAAGAGAAAAAATTATAAACAAAATGTTTTATTGTTTTTGTCAAGAAAAGTGGTTTTTTTTCTTCGTTGTGGGAAGCGTTTTGAACTTCGCCGACGTATTAAAATTCTACTTTATTTCTAAGAAAGTGTTAATGACTGGAGCAATTATACCCTATTTGGTAATATATTGACGTTTAATAAAATAATTTTTTGTTACAAAAACATCATACAAAATAATTTCTCAAAGTTCAAAGAGGTTTACCATTAAATAAGACATTTTAATTTTAATATTTTCGAACTGATTGCTACTTATTTAAAATTATTTTCACATTCTTAATAATTTAAATTCATTATATTTTCTAACGAACTATATAAACTAAAAATTTTCTTTTACAGTTTAATCATATAGTAATATAACCTGAAATTATGATAAAAAAAAAATAAAAGAAAAAAAAAAATTATTTTTTTTTCTGAAAATTAGATGGAAATTAGTCATGTGGTTCTTGTCATTTTCTCACTATTAACCATCAAAACTAATTTTGGGAAGGGTAGTGACGTCACCGGAGGCGTCGGGGCCTAGCCGGGTTCTGCGTTTTTCCCTATCAGAAACTTATCAAATTTTAGTTTTCGATAGGGAAACCTGGAGAAACTTCTCTACGGGTTCACATAAAAAAAAAAATCACTATTGAGCCATAAGGTCTCCGGATTTAAAACACGTTTAAAATACTGAAATTAAAGTTAATTCCCTTTTCCTTGTTTATGACTGTCGGTTACGAACTTTGTGCTTATGTATGGAAATAAGTGATTAAACACTCTAAATAAAAAAAAAAAATATATATATATATGTATATAGGCTATTTCAAGGATATGCTATTTTAAGTATATAAATATTAAGTTCAATTATTTTTTTTGTTGTATTATTGCATACCATTTCAAGCATTTATTTTAATTTTTTTTCCGTATAAATCTTTAGGTTGATAATTATTAAAACATAAAATCACGATGCTGATTTGGCAACAGAGCGCATTAAGAAAAAATTTTTTCGAAGAATGCTTATCTAACCTCCGTCCAGCTTAGAAATTTGACTCTTTACGGTGCTCAAGAAAGGCAACATCGCGTGAATGAATTCAGAATGCTACTCACACATACATGCATGAAAAGGGAAGGGGAGGAGTTTTTTCCTCTTTTTCCGACTCACAGTCTAACAAAATTATTATTAATTGTTGACTAACTATATTGAGTAAAGTTAAATTTGGATTTTAATTTTGTTCTCATTTAAACTTTAATTGCATTATTAGATTATTCATTTTGCTTATAAAATAAAACCTAAATTACATACATATATTAGTTTAAGAAACAGCTGAATAATAAGCCTCAGATTATACGATTTTTAATCTAAATAAAAAAATAAATAAAAAAAAAAAAGAAAAACTAAACTTTCCATAAATTAATTATTTTCAATAATTTAAATGAAAATTTTCAAAAATAAATATAAGTATGTGTTTTTATTTCTTACCCCTTTGATGTGGAGGGAGGGTTTTCCCTCAAATGCGTTAATTCGCTCAACGCATATTCCAGTTTATTTTGTTGTATCCATTCAAGCACAGAGGGCTTCCTTGCTCTTCGCAAAGTTTCGATAAACAAATTTTTATTAATCTCCTCCTGTACCGCTTCTTCCTCTTTTTGTTTTTCCTCTTTCATTTTTTTAAAAAGTTTAAATATTCTATTGTTTTTTAAGATTCCGCTGCGTTCATCAGCCCCTTCTTGCATGTCACTCGATTTATCTCCCATTCTTCCGATTTCTTCTGACGCACAAAATCAATAAAAGAACATTTGTTTTTACATTCTCTTCCTTACTATTATTAATATTATACACTACTATTAATTCTGTACTCACCTCGAAAAATCAGAACTGTAACAAACGCGGAGCGGAACGAAACACTTAACGCACAGAAACAAACTGAACTGCGGTGTCAGAGTCAGAAAGCACTACCACTGTGACGTATGTATTAATCATGAATCCAAGCCCTTATCATGGTAATCTCAAAACTAAGCCAGGATTACTAGTTAGAATAAGTAAGAAGAATAAAGCGCGAACTCTTAAAATTAATGTAAAATTGGAACAATAACGTTAGTCTAACAAAACAAAATTTTATCACTTGCCCATTATTTTAGTTAAAACACAAACTATATATAAAAAAAGAGAGAGGAAGGATATATGTATGGATCTTCTATTTCCAAAAGCTCGCAAAGTTGATGATTTATTATGAACTATTGTTTTATATATGTATAATTATTATTTTTTTTACATAAATCCTTATTTTACAAAATATACATGTAATTTCCATTCGCTTAAAACTGAAATAATATTAAGCAAAACCCCCCCAAAAAAAAAAAAATAATAATAATAATAATAATAATATATATATATATATTTTTTTTTTGAATTCGAAAGAATTACGAAAGATAGATTTTACCTAACTCTTTTTAAGAATACTTATAATAATACAAATAGCTATTAATGTAATCGATAAATTCATAATTGTAAGTGTATGCATGTATATGTATATATATATATATATATATATATATATATGTGTGTGTGTATGAGCATATATATATATATATACGTATATATATTTAAGAAATCAAGCGTATGTATTAACCTTTATACGAATTGAAGAATCTACAACATGTTTAATACGTGCGAAGCAAATATGCAACACAAATGTTGAAATTTAGTATGTATTGGATTTAGTATTCAAACGACGACTTTAGATTTCCATACGCATTATTGCGCATGCGTTGACAATCGGTATTCAAAATAAAATTATCAGAAATTAAAAAAAAAAGGGGAGGGGGGACTTCACCTGTGTTATGATTAGAGATTTAATACAATATGTTGTAAAGCATAAGTTGCGAATAATGAAAGGTGTTCTACCTAATCGAATGTGTATCGTTTTCAAATTTTGAATGTTTTTTTTAGTGTATAAGGCCTATACTATGCATATGATAAATACATATAGGGTTTCTATGTTACCAATACGTTACAAGAAGTTACAATATAGAGGCTATATATTCACTCGGGAACAAATCATGAAATTTTAACAAAATTCATATGTACAACGTTAAAATTTCATGGTTGTTGCAAGAGTTCTTGTGCCCATGAAGGCGATCAAAGGAAGGAGATATATATATGTAGTTTCCCCCGAATTCGTCTCCATCGCAATTAGTTTTCAGGGATCAAAAACGGAATATCCACGGTGGATTGTTACGGTAACACCAAATCCATATATATTTTTTATAATTAAAAAAAAAAAATTTTTTTTGAATGTTGTGAAAAATGAATTATTTTTCCAACAATGGAGTTTGGCGCGTGTAACTAGTGTTGAATAGAGTCATGGTGCTGTTCTGCGAGGGAGGCGAAATCGGGAAGAGAACAATTAAATTTTTCCTATATAAAAAGGGGGGTGAATAATAAATGTTTGTATCCTTCTTTTGATGGTTTTTGCTTCGTTGGCGCACAGAAAGATATATTTTTTTTAGAATTAAACATAAAATTCACAATGTTAATGTAATGATGTTGCGGGCATAGTATAGCATGTGTTATGGTAGTATGTATGTTATAATAGTAGGAATGTTCAAAATTATATCATTGCTAAGGGTTCGTTGTTTTTAAAAGGAAGGTATCATTTATTTTATTTTTTTTTCTCTTGCTTGTGGGTTTTGGCGGGCAAGGAATGAACATAGATACACCTATACCAAATCGGCTTCACGGTATTGGACGTCTGAACTATATATTGACGATTGCGCGCTACAAATTTATTTTACAGCTACAATGCACTTGGGCCGTACTCTGGCTATCGGCTCGGCTATCTCCATGTTCCCTGCTCCCTCCGGGATCTTGACCTACAAACTTTGTACCAAATAAAGGCACGTGCAATTAACATGTGGAACAAGAACAGCATTAAAAAGAAAATAGTATTGCTATTTTCTATCATGATTCAAAATTCATATGTACACACATTTTGTGAAGTGAAATTCTTCTCAGAAAATTTTAAATCAATTAAAACAGTAAAAAGCAAGGTGTATTTGCTGTTTCTTCTATTATTGAAAGGAAGAATTTTAATAATAGTAACAGCAATAATTTTACAAATAATTAATATTTTCAATTATAACTTATGAATATAGTTATAATAAACTCTTGTTCCAGGTAGGTGTTAAGTTGCGGCTGGACGTTTTCCGTTCTCACGCTTGCGGCATGAGATCTAAAACGTCAGCAAAAATGTAACCAACCAAGAAACTCAAAGAAACTGTCCCTTCTACAAAAATTTAGAATCCCAACTATCCCACCTAAATCCCAAGGCGATGGCCAGAGGCCGATCTGAGATCAAAACTCAAGGCAGTACAACTTTCGTAATCTTGAAGTTAAGACCTTTCCTGGCTCTGGCCTGGGAAGTCCTGATTTGTAAAGATTTAGAAACGCCGCGACTAAGCCCGTCCGCGAGTCGTAACCCGAATTATAACTTCGCACCAAGTTGCAAGTAAATTCGGGCGGACGAGAAAAATTAATTAAAGCTTTAGCCGACAAAGTCCAGTGGAACCGATTTGAGAATTGCCATTATTTAAATTTTATTTCAATTACTGGTAATTTATAGCCAATCGGCTGGTTGCATAGATTTTGCCCACGCCGTCTCAATATCGTGCGGACCCACAAAATTCTCGCGATTCCGCGATACCAAAATTTTCTTTGCCCGCCAGAAGACAAACTGCGAGCTTCGAGCATCAACGACTTCTGACGGTAGTTGTAAGCCGTAGTGGTAAGAGTTAAAACTTTTAAGTATCGTTCCACGCAATAATTTTTCTCTCTTTTTATCAATTTTGAACAATTTAGTTTTAGTGAATGTCAATTTTTGTTTGCGTATATTGATGTAACTGTAATTTCATACTTTTATTGAGTTCTTTCCAATTAAATAAAGACAAATTATAAAAGGGAAAATTTTTTGTTTTATTGTGTGTTCAAAAAAAAAAAAAAGAAAATTCTTACTAAAATTTAAAATGATGAAAGTGTCTTGGCAGAAACGTTTTTAAATAGGATAAACGGTCCCACAAAATAATAAACAAAATTCTAGAGTTTTTCAAGTAACACGTTTTAATATTCTGAATTTTGGCAGCTTGGTGCCTCCCCATAACCTCAAAGTTGATAAGAAATAAATTAATTAATTTTCCGGTTTGTAACATAGATATCTCAGAAAAACCCAATTTTCAATGTTTTTACTATTTTTTTTATATCTCTGGCAAAAATTAATATTTTTAAACGTTCTTAGGCTCATTGAAATCTTATTTTGTTATGCAATTCAAATTATATAAAACAATTCATGTACACATTCTTCCCTAGCGTATGCAAACCGTGAAAGTTGGCTCATAAAATGTCAAAAAATTTAAATTTAATTCTACAATAAAATATAATGTTTAAAAATCAAGTAAATATATCATTTTAAACTTCTCTGATTTATGTAAGTAAATTTAAAATTTATACATTTTACTGATCATTTTTTGTCATATAAATATTAATAACAATTTTTTGACATTTTATGAGCCAACTTTCACGGTTTGCATACGCTAGGGAAGAATGTGTACATGAATTGTTTTATATAATTTGAATTGCATAACAAAATACGATTTCAATGAGCCTAAGAACGTTTAAAAATATTAATTTTTGCCAGAGAAATAAAAAAAATAGTAAAAACATTGAAAATTGTGTTTTTCTTAGATATCTAATTGAAAAATTAACATATTCTCTTTGTCAAGGTGTCATTTCTTTCAGAATTTTATTAACTTTAATAAAATAAAGAGAAAAAATTTTTAGTTTTAATATTTTTGAAGATTTGAACAGTTTTATGGTTGTTGAAAAAGCAGAGTTCGCACAATTTCGGACGGTAGTGTAAATTATTTATTTAAAATTCAAAGTACAACAACGGCGTCTCAAAATAGTGTGAGTAGATCACACACGATTCTGCGTCGTTTGGCCGGAGCTAAACTAGGGAAGTTCGGCCTGAATCGCACGGCTTCAGGTGTCCCCTCCGGAGATGTTGGATCCTCATTTAGAGGTAAGGTTTCTAGGCTGAGGATGTCGTTTTCCTGCAGGTAGTCGAGGGTTGGTACTCGTCTTTCGGGTTGTTGAAAGACCGGAGTAGGTGGTGACCTGAGGGGGCTAATAGGTCCAGGACTAAAGTGCTCGTTTGTCCCTGGACTGGCGCCGAGTTCAGGGGGAGGTGTTGGACACTTTGGCGGAGTTCGTGGCTGAGTGTCTTCGCCAGTAACGGGCGAATTACGTTAGGCCACTTTTGGCGCGACCACGGCCCTGGGTCTAGGGTAATTGCAGGAAACGTAGTCGAAACGCGGCCAGTGTTGTCGTCGGAACGGTCGCGTCACGCCTCTATCAAGACTAGGTTTCGCACTCAGACTAGCGGAAACGGTGACGGGGACCACTGGTGGTTGGCCGAATTCGGGCAGCGGTAATGTGGTGGGAAGAGCGTCCCCATTTACGGAGTCAGGGCGTCTGCTGCAGTATTCTTTATATCCCGCGGCGTCGTGGATCTCCAGTTGGACTCCAGTTGTAGTTTCGGTATTATAACCAAGAAGTGGTTTGTCCAAGCTCCGTTAATGCTTCAGCGCCCTCTGGATCGAACGTTTCTTACCCTATGGACGACAGAACGAGCGAATAAGAAACAATAAGGTCGGGGTATTTTGTAGTCGAGAGAAAGCCAGCTCGAGTTTGCG